GATTGGTACATTCCTGAGTGTTCGTGATCATTCTTTTAACTTTTATGTCTATAAGTGTATTTGTGAGGCCCATTTTAATAATTAACCTTTAGTTACTTATTCTTTCTTTCTGTGTAATTTCATTCTGTTGTGCGTTGCTGCTGTTGTTTAAACCTCTAACTCTGGAGCTTTAGCGTTTCATTTCAGACCAAAAGGATATAAAAAACAGATCACAGAGCATAACAAACATGATATCCTGTGCTGATAGATGCTGAGGCTTTTACTCAGGCTGCTTTTTGCTCAGCTACTCTTACTTTTGTTTGACTGTTTATTTTAATGAATTAACAGTGCTTTATCATGATACATGACCGACCTTGATATAGGCCTGTATTTTCTGTTGCTATAGCTATTCTTTTCCATACTGTCAATGCAGTGAATTAGAGGAGGGGCACATTTCTGTCCTTGCCTCGGGCCCCCGAACTCATTAAATCCAGCCCTGACAAAAAAGGCTGATCTCTGAACGTATGAGGAAAGAGCCCCTGCCACTTTAAGTGTGACGTCATCACACAAACCTCAACTTCGATTTGCTTGCTAGTTGCTAAGCAATGCTGACAATTACTTTAACGGTCAAGAGGATTATACTTCATCACTACAGTGCCTAGAACACACACACACTCACACACTCTTGCACACACCAGCCAATCAATACGCCCCTGTGGAAGGTCATTTACTGTAAAAACTGCACACTTTGGGTACTTCCAATATACGGGCCATGCAGACTACGCCATCAGACACTTAGGATGAAAAAAAGAATGCAAAATATAAAATGCTAACTGTGAATCAATACGTGGTTGAGAGGAATTGTCTGTTGGTCATGTGACCTCTTCATTTTTAACAGTCTCATTAATGGCTGATACAGCCAGAAAAGTGACTCTGCTCGCTGGACACTCAATGAGACTGGAAGAAGAGTCATTGATCGAAGGTAGCTAATGATTTTCACATTAAAGTGAAGCAGGGAGAGGAAAGGGGAAGCCAGAGAAACAGGGAGAGAATATATTCTTCCGCCTCCAGCCTTGGCTGACCCTTTGAAAAAGAGAGGTGAGGGTCTTCATCCTCATATTAAGCACTGTGGCCATGTTCGTTTGGCCAAATGAAAGCCAGAAGGTTCTAGTAAATATTATACACAGGCTAGGTACTGTATATCACTGTGGTCAGAACAAAACCTTGTATCTCCAAAATGGTAACTTTACAGGAGAAGGAAAAAAACACACTTTACGTCTTAGTCGCTTTAGTCACTGGAACCAGACTTTTTCCCCAAGTAATTCTGGGCCATTTTTTGGTCCATTTATCATGAAATTGACAGACACTGTAAAGGGCAACAGGCACTTTCAAATTATTTCAAAAACTGAAAAACGACAAAATTGGAGATTTTGGAGGTTTTGTTTCCAACAGCACTTGCACACCCTGACGTCCGGAACATAGAATTCTGTCTGTTAAAACTCTATTAGGACTTGTGTTCTAAGATCAATCCAGGTTTAGATACTCAGGCTATGATTATTCCTTATGCGTGTGCACATGAAAGCGTGACGTTTATGACGAACAGCCCATCACGTGAAACATAAGGAGGACTCATCGAAAGAAGACAATAAAATAATACTACCTAAATATATACAAAGTACATCACGTATAACTGTAAAATAGCAAAGCTATTGCAGGGTTAGACTGAATTAAACTTAATAGTTACTGAGTAAGCAAGAAGTACTGTGTCATGAGACAGACTCCTGGATACAGAATACTGAGAAGGTTATTAGTTTGCCACTGCACCACTGACCAGTAGACTTTACCCTCCATCACCATATGTATGCATCCCTGCACATGCAAGTGCTTATTGTTTCTCTGGACTAAAACATGAGCTGGGTGCAGAATCCACTACGTAAGGTAGACCATCATATCTAAACATCTGTAATGTAGGCCATATATTAAAAACTGTGTACACTTATGTTGCACATGCATGCCAGTTTTGTGCAGTTGTATGTGTGAGGTCTGTCATTTTGAGCAATCTCAGTCCAGATTTTCATAGGCTCAGCAGATTATGCTGAATGTGATTTCTAATCTCGACCCTTTCTCTTCACATCTCTCCCCCTCCCCCCAACTCTCTCTCTCTCTCTCTTTCTATTTCTTTCGTTCTCACACTTGCTGTTTCTCTCTCTGAGAGGCAGGATTATTATAGTTAACTAAAATACTAATAAAATGAAAATAAGCAATGAGAAAATGTGCTTTTTAGCCACAATAAAATAAGTTACAATTTTCAAAAAAATAATCAAAACTATAATGTCCGCTGTAAAACTATGGCCATCTGTAAGGAAAGCTGGAGTCAAGATAAGCTCAGTTTATTGATCAAATATCTTCCATCACGTTAATTATACACATCTGTATGGGATATATACTGATTTGCTAGTTTTTTAGGTGCCTTTTATCTACACTCATTGGCACTTTGCATGTTTACAATTACTGACTGTAGCACTGTAGCATTTTGAACATGGTGCACTAATTAAAAACGTCCAGCCAACAGTGGTCTTAAGTTCAGAACCTGATGAAGTTCTAGAGGATGACTAATTCAAACTGCGCATGGAAAAAGGTGAGTTATCATCGCAACTATCAACAAGGTCGGTGTTTCTATTAAAATGGCCTGTAGGTGCATACTCAATTCATACCAGTACAACGTCCACTACTATGCCACGACTATGTTGTCACTGCTGTGCTGAGAACACTCCACCATTTAAAGGTGGAACTATGGTGGTCTCTTTTCCTTGATAAATGGATGGGCAGATGGGCTACAGTAAGTAACTGTAAACCTACAAAGTGCACCTACATGGTCGGTGTATCTGATAAAAAGTAGGGGAGCGAGCGGCACAATAAACTGTGGCCTTTGCTAAATAATTTCAAAAGTGAGGAAGATTGATATTTTTTACCCAAGCAACCTACACATCTCTGCTACAAATAAAAATGCAAACTGTTGCCAGGACCAGGAGTTTATTAAACAATTCAGCCAAAAGTGGAGTGAGTACAAACATTACAACTAACCCCATAGGTGGGGTTAAGTGTAGAAGATTGAGGGGCTAGTTGTAACAGACGCTAAAAAGTCTTCAATTGTAAAGCAATGCAAAACACAATTGATTCGGTGCAGTTCTATGCTGAGACAAACAGACAAACCTTAATGCATACAAAAATATGCATTGAAATAAATAATTGCGTTGATTTGTTTTAGACCACAAAGTAGAACAGCAAGAAAACTGAATGATATCTGCAAAAACCAAAAAATTGACTGATTTGAATTTATATGGCAGGTTGTAGATGCTCTCACTGTTAATATCTGGAGGCTTAGTTGTAACACTATGTTAAAACTAACCCCACCATATGGAGGCAGTACTTTAGCTTGTATGTCACTTTCATGTTTAAAAACGTGCTACATTACAGCCACCAAGAAAGTGAGTAAAATTATATAGGAGTGTATTCTCTGAATTACACAGAACTCAGTAACTAAAACACTTTTATGGTATAAATGCAGTCTTCAGGGTGAATCTCAAGAAATATCTGTCCAATTGCTGTCAAAATCTGCTCATAATCATCTGCACATAACTAAAAGAACTTTCTACTTGAACCTGTTTAACTACATAAAATATACATGTTCCATTTTACCCTGTGTTAGTTTAGGTGCACAAACTCAGTGTAATTAAAACGAACCAATCAGGGCCTGAGAGTCATTTTGTACTGTATGACATTGTTAACTGTCTTCTTGTTTTATGTGCAAGGCAGGGAGAGCTTGCTTTTGGTTGTTTTAACAGGGAAACGCCTCTGAATGATTTCATTCTTCACCTCTTGTTCTTCCTGCCTTCTTATCACATAAATACACACCCAGAAGTGAAGACTGATAGTAGTAATATGCAGAGAGGGAAAGAGATAGTGAGAGGAAGAGTCAGAGAGAGAGTGTATGTGTTTGATTGAGGTCCAGAGTCAGCAGCGGTTTTGTCATGTTCTCTTTTACAGGAAGGGGAAACCTTAATAAATGAAAACACTTTCTATTTATCCAGTCGTTTCCTTGCACAAAGCTAAACACATTTGTAGGACATAGTTCTTTGTGTTAGAGTAGCGAAAATGAGAAGCAGAGACGCATAAACCTACAAAGTGTGTCTGTGTGTGTGTGTTAGCCACTGGCTCTCTGGGTCTGAGCTTCCACTGTTTCCAGGTCAGTGATTTCCCTTTTTATTTGGTAATTTAATTTCACTGAGAGATGAAAGTGCTTGAAAGAGCCATAATCCTCTCTCTCTCACACACAAACACACACTGATTGATAGATAAGCGATTGGGTTGTAATGATGAACCATCTCACAACTCTGTTCTGAAATGTTCCAGCTTAGGAGTATATATGTGGGCGCACAGAACTGTGCAAAAGTCAGAGACCACCCTTTACTTACTCAATTTCCAGTCAAACTGGTCATTATATTAGTTATTCATTGTGAGCATTCGAAAACATATGCTACAACACATTTGAAATTTTACTTGGATCGCAAGAAACAGAAAATGCAACCAACTTCTTAGACTGAACTTTAGAGGTGTGGAAAAATATCCCTACAGATTTCTCTGAAAAACTTAAAGCAAATCTCCTGAAAAGAACAGAAGCTGTAATAAAGGTAAAGAGTGGACACACTAAATACTGAAAAATTAGGCATTAGATTTAGTTGTTGAGTCTTCTGAGTAATTTTCAGTTAAATAGGTTTCCATCTTTTATTCTGACTCTGAAAAATGGACAGCTTGCGTACTTAATGGCTGTACTGACTGGAAATTAAACAAAGGGTGGTCCATGATTTTTGCATAGTAGTGTATGTGTGCTTTTGTCGAGGCCTGATGAGAAACTGTGGCACATAAAATATTTACATGGTGTTTATACATAATGCAATAGTGACCACATCTCACACACACACACACACATGCACACACACCAGTAATAGATTAAGAGTCACTCTGGTCAATAGAACTTTATTATCGGCAAATATTACATACACTGTAAAAAAAAAAGAAAAAAGAAAAATGCATTTGTCACTTCTATGACAATAGCTGGACAGATGTGGACATGGGAAAAGAGAGTCCTGTTTTTTCCCCCATCCTAGCACCTCCACCAACCTTTCCAAACTCAAACAAGCGGGAAATTTCGCAGAACACGGTAACGATCAAAAGTGACCGCAGAAGGAAAATCTCATAGCTTTGAGTGCAAGATCGCTAACGAATAAAAAAAGTCCAAATCAAATCCAAGAATGCAAACAAGTCAACAAACAACACATAGGACACGTTTGAGGTTGAACATCTACAACTGTATGTTGGAACGGTATACGGTAATGTACAAACTATTCGCATATACGTTCTCCTACCAAAAAACCAAAACACAGAGACTTCATGTAGAGGTGAGGCCCTCTCTGCTGTATGACAGTCAAACTTCCAACATTTTACGCTAAAACCTTTTACAATGTCGCCTGAAACTCACTCCCTCTCTTTTCCACTCAAAGGCACCGCACATCCTAGGACTGCTAACAGGTAACAGATAACAATGAAAAACTGTGTTTGTTAAGCTAATTTTACACTAGAAGCAACGCGGCACGCACAGCAAGCCTACACTGTTCCTCAACGCTTCCTATTTCACACCGGACGCAACTCGCACGTCAAGTTGTGTTAGTGAAACACGTTTTTTGACATTGTTCTGTTTTCAAATGAAATAAACTTTAGCAAAGCTATTAGCTACTAACATTCTGTAAGAGGATGGTTCTTCAGTGGACTCTAACAATTCTGCTGCTCCAACTTAAAATGTAGCTGTATGCTGTTTTGATTATGGGCATAGATTGCACAATATAGCAAGAATCCAGAATGTTGCACTGTTTACAGCTAAAAACTTCATGTTCACATTACCGCTGCAGCTCCGCTTGATGCATGTAGCCGGTGTGAAAGGCTGCACTGATTGATATAGGTGCATATTACGCATGATGCGTCACGTGACCGGTTACCACACCTGGTGTAAAATGGGCTTTAGACATAGAATGTTTCTTCCTGCTCCAATATACCTGATCTATAGTTTGTCAGCCCACAAACTGGAAATCCAAAAAACCTGATGCTATGTGGTTAGTATTATGTCTCTTCAGCCACTGAGTTGAAGTGTTTTGACCATCCTCCCCTGACAATTTAAACTGACTTCAGATGAATATGTAATAATAATGGCTTATTAAAGCAGATTTTTTTTTTCTGCATGTAAAATGAATTAATCTCATAGTTTATTTCATCGAAATACAAACCAAAAAAGTGCAATAATCAGTAATCTCAGCTCTAAAGCACTGACAATGTACAGGAAAATATATACACACGCACATACACACAAACAAATATGAAACAAGGATGAAATTGGTTAGAAACATGCCATCAGGTGTGTGTGTGTGTGTGGGGGGGGGTATGCCTGCTTCCCTTTCAGACAGAAAATTTTCAGTTTCTCGCTGAAAATAGGACTCATGTGTTCGTACATGCCTGTGTGTGAATGTGTGTGTGTGTGTGTGTCCACGCTAAATCCTAAGCGTAATACTTCTATCTCTAACAAAACCCTTCTGATCACTCCTAGTTACTGTCCCAAGGGCTACTGTGGATAACTTATCCTAAGGATCAAAAACATTGACATAAGAAAAATAAAATGCATTTATATCAGGAATAACTGTATTAATTTTTGTACAAATGTTACACACCAAGAGGAAGATATATCTTTTTGTCTAAGCCATTAGTAATATTAGTACAGATTTCTGCCAGTGTTGCCTAAAAACGCGCTTTAGGACCAAACAAACGTCTCTGCCTTCTTTTTTTTTTTTTGGTTTCCCCTTTTTTTTAGAAAAAAAAAGAAAAGTGGATTATGACAGGTAGCCATCGTCATCGTCATCATCATCATATTCTTCATCATCTCCCACCTCCTCTTCGTCGTTCAGGAAATCGTCGTCCTCGTCATCGGAGAGCAGGGAGTCACCGCTGCCGAAGTCTCCGGAAGATTCCACCACAGGAGCTGTGAACACAGAGTGAACAGTCAGGCGCATGTTAATAGTCATCATGCCTGCCAGTGATGCATCGCTACCTTAATGAGGTGTTTAATGAACTAGAACGGCTTCTGCAAAGCAAACTTGTTCACACCTGAAAACAATAGCATCTGCTGCTGTCATACTCCATACGTCCATTCAATAACTGCTTTAAGCCTGTTAAAAGACTCATTTATCTTTCGCAATGTTCACTCACTTTAATTCATCTTCTCTGAGCATGACATTCTATATTACTGTGTTATGGTATTTACATTGTTGTCACGGTTGAAACTTGCATAATATAATGTGAATCTTTTCACATTAAATATCATTAAATGTCAAGACAATCTAAAGAGCAGCTGACTATTTCAGAAATTAATACAAAAACTGAGTTATCAAGTTTTGATAACAGCAACAATATGCTATTTTCTAAACAGAACCGAATGAATTTATTATTTTTGTACCGCATTCGACAGGCCCCATCGTGCGTGACCCAGCAACCTCGTTTCCATAGCGATCGACGCACCAGCACTGGCCGCTGCTGCCATGGCACTGGTGAGACCTATAGAAACCGTCCTCATCGCAGGAGGGGATGTACTGACCTACCCAAACACAAACAGATTCATAGACTACGTTATCTGTTGACTGGCAAAATGACCACTACTGCCACTGCAACTCTCGCACCCAGCTTCAGTTTCAGCTTCAAAGCATCTTGGGTGAAAGCCCCAAATTCCAGCAGTCTTGCCAAAGATTTTCAGCAGTTAAATGTGATATTATTTGAGCTTATTTATTTATTTATTTATTTTTTTAACTTTATTTGTGGCTGCAGGCATTGAGCCATCTCTGCGCATTCTGCTCAAAAGTGGAGCCGCGGATAAAAATATCCCCTTTTCGTGTCCGATTTCCACCATACGTCTCATCGCTCTCTCTGCGCAAATTAAACACGCAACCTTCAGAAAGGGAAAGAGCAACTCAGGCATACAGAGACGTTCATTTATTCACTAAATCAAATTCAAGATGGACTCTAGTTCCTCATGACTGCTCGTAAACCTCATTTCAGGAAACGTGACTGTGTTATGATAATACGCGCACATTTACATATTCATGATCATACTCCTATGCATATGCATTTATGCAGATAAGCATGGCATATGTATAATCACGTAATATTGATGCAAATGCGCTGTTATAGCGTACTTGATGGTGGGCTCCAAATTAGGTAAAATGTTTTTTAAATAGATCAGAACTGCACAGCAGATTTGGTAAACCTCAATGTGCATACTGGTTTATTAGGTGCACCAACTTTGTAGCTACACTCAATGGCTATTTTATCAGAAATATATAGATTGTAGGTTCAGTTACTGACTTTGGTTCAGTTTAGTGACTTCTGACTGACCATCTTATGCTGCAACCCTCTGTCCCATTCATCACAGAAAACGGACCACCATATGGCCACTGTTGGCAAGATATTATCTGGGAGCTGGACCATTCTCAACAATGCAGCGACACTGGCATGTTGTGCATGGAAGAAAATGAGATCTAGTCCCAGAAAAGTGTACCAACAAGGTAGGTGTGTCTAATAATGTGGCTAATACACACAAGCTGACCAAAAGCATCATAGCAAGTTGGTATGTGGAGCATCCTCTTCAGGCAGTCTCTAAAGACAATCTTAACACAATAAGATTGATGGAAAATGTAACTAAAAACTTGATTTGCACATAATCTGTTGATCATATCATTTGTGCAATGACTGCCATTTTAGTAATTGCAAATGTGCCAAATCAGAGACAGAAAGAGAGGCACAGACTGAGTGAGTGAAAGTCAGAGAAGGAGGAAAAACACATACCCAATAACTTCTTCCCAGCTTGTTGCTCATGGATACTGGTAATCTCTGATTGGCAGGGAGAATCTGAAACATGAGAAGCAAAAATGATTTCAGATCTAATGCTAAAGAGAACGTTGAGTATGGGTGGGCTGGTATGAAAACGTACTGTAATGATATCAATATTAGTATTAACTCAGTATTAAAAAAAAAAAAATTAAAATGTTATAAAACCTTTTAAGGACACATTGAAATCATTTCGCCACAGGTAAACACCACAGGAACAGGTACATGGATAGACTTTGTCTTGAAGGTTTCTGTATTTCATTATAAAACGAAAAAAACTCTTCAATTTAAATAAATATGAAATTCTTGCTTACACTACTACTGTTTATTGTTCAAATTATAACTATATATACAGCCATTGTCCTGGCACATGCTTTGCTGAGAGACTGCAGCAGGAAGCAGTTAACTTCTGCCTTGGCTTTTTAAAAAAATGGTAATCACAGTTATTGGAACTACTAATGTTGGAAACTGTATGATTTTCAGTGGGTTTTATACTACAGTATATGATTTATTAAGTGGTAACTGCCCCATCCTTATCTGCCAGCCAAGAACTAACTCACGATTTAACCTCATTCAAACTAATTAAAGCCTGGTCACATTATCTATTGCTTAATAAGCTGAGCAAGGCCTGTAAAAAGAAAAATGTAGACTAGAAAACCAGTTCACTGAACAGTTCACTTCTCAGCATGACCTCCTCAAAGTGCTTCATTTTGTCCCTGTAGCTTAGTTGTTAATGACTAGGCTATCATAGCAGGGACTATAGAATCTCATCACATAATAGAATACTATTAACTACTAGATTCAACACACTGTAAAGGTGTCGCAAACACTGCCATGATCAAAGGTGTTTTGATTGAATCTTTTTAAGCGACAGTGTATTACTGTATAATATGGAGCTGAAGAAATCTAGAAGAAAAGGGTTTTGTGCACTCTATAAGTTTACTGAACAGTGTGGAAAGGCACCGCCAGTGTTTCAAAAGGCTTCACAGTTGCTGTACATAGACTGTGTTACATATTCAGCAGTGTATGTATCTATGTTAAGCGTTTATTATGATTTATCTGTTCCTTATCTGTGTATTTCTGTTTACAGCTTTGCAGGTTCATATGTTAATAATAAATCTGCTGTGCATTCTATTCTGTCCATTCAAAGCATAAGAGCATAATCAGCTGCTTTGCATGTTTTCATCAAATTCAAAGGCTGCGTCATGAGTACCCAAAGAAAAGCCAAACAGTTGGACTTGCAGAGAACCACATGTATAAATCTCTGATGTTTTTACACTGACAATATGTACATCGCTGAAAGGTTGAGCTGTTCCAAACATCATACAGACAGTGTTTACCCTGGTGTCTCTGAAAGCAGAAGCACCATTCCTGGCTGGAGATGAGCTGGTCTCGGCCTGTGTCACATGACCTGAGGAAGGCCTTAATGCAGGCGTCGTTCTTCTCCGGACCCAGGCCTGCGAGCTCTGTTTGGTCCAGATGCAGGTCAAAGTTGACATCCAGTCTGGTGAACATCCAGCCTAGGGAATCCTTACAGAGAGGCACCTTACTCATGTCCACTCCTACACACACAATATGAAGGAGACAAGAAGAAAAAGGCAGAAATGTAAATATCATTGTCCAATTAGTTGTTAGTTTACTATTCTAAACACAGCAGTGATACTGACATGTGTAAAACTTTAGCAACATCGCTGATACACTCATACCAGAGTTGCACAAAATATCATGCTGCAACCATCTCAGTGTCACTGCTCTGTTGACAACGGTCCAGAACCTGAATAATATCTTGTCAGTGGTGTCCCTTTCCACTCAGGATTGGGGTAGAGGGGGCTGATAAATTCTTTCAGCAACAGATGGACTCCAATCGGTAATTATAAACCTACAAAGTAGGCCTGTGCCAGACTCAGAATCCTCTTATGCAGCTATCCATGTGAAAAATAACCACGGTAAACGGTTAAAAGGGGACTTGTCATAGAGGTGGCGGGTGGGGGATGTTTTTATTTTGCAATAGTTCTTAACACTGAAGCACAGTTAAGATTATTTTAATCTTAAACTCTGTCAAATAAAAGAACAAACAATATTATCTGAGGCTGTGGTTTCTTAGCCTGATGCTTTTTGTCTGATGTGAAATTGCATGATGAAATTTCAACCATAGACCGAAGCCATTTTGTCTGATGTCTGAAACCTTTTGATGCGGTCAAAACGGGGCCTTTTTTGTACAGGCATGATATCTGCCTGCCTTCACAGTGCCACCCCAAACCTCCCCCCTGAATGTATTAAACCAACACAGCTCAACAGCTGTGTTTCTAGAACAATCTCATCTATGCTGGGTACAAAGAAAGTGGTATTAATGTCTGATATCACATCACTCAGCATGTTCATATTTTCAGTTATGTTCATGAGTGTGAATACTAGAGTGTGCCATGAAATAAATGAATGAATAAAGGAATGACTTTTTCTGAACCAGCAGTAACTTAGTTTTTACTTACATTGGGGGCTGTTACTGCAGTAACTCACCAGGAATAGGCCTACTGGGTAGTGCATCCTAGGTGTACCTACATAGTCTAGAGTGTTTGTTGGACTCTTGTTTTTTGGGGAGACTTACTCTTATCTGGTTTCTGGAACTTGAGTTTCTTGCTGGGATTCCCGCCTTCATGTTGATCTCTGATCCAATCTCTCAGTTTTCTTGCAACGTCACTCATTTCAGCATCACTGCAGTCTACATACAAACACACAGACACACACACAGACACACACAAAGATGTTTCTTTAGTTGCTTTTAAAACACACTCAATTAGCAGAAGTACACAGTCTTTTGTGTTCATCCACATGGCAAATCTGACTAGAAGCTTTCATTAACCCTAATTTGAACAGCTGTCAAAAACACAATGACTCATATGCGCTAATTTTACAAAGACACAACTAACTGAAGAGCAAAAAAAAGAAAAAGGACTACTGTGGGTTCCACAGAGCACAAGAAGTCCCACAAGAAGGGATTGACACTTCTGCCTCTATGTGTACCTATGTTGACTGTTACAGTGCTCATTAGCGAGCTGACACCTGGACTAGGCTCATATGTGTAAATCTCTAAGAGCTATAACTGAATGCACTGCAAAGTTCCAGCTACAGACCACTAATAGTAGAACAGATTCATGTTCATTTTTTAGATCAATAAAAATTAAAGAAAGTAAACATGAAAATGCATCTCATGCATTTTTAAACTCATCTGCTCATCTCTCTCTCTCTTGTTCATGCTCGCAGCTCAGATTTTGACACAGAAAACTTTTAATAGGTTTCTAAGGGATACAGACTTTCAGAGAGGAAAAGAAATAAGGACAGTTTGTCGGACTGTAATCCTTAAAATAATCATGCTCTTAGTTACCAAAAGCCATAAGGGCTCTCTGTACCATACAGAGAGGATGAGAGAGAGGGAGAGAGAGAAAGAGCGAGAAACAGGAAAGAGAAAAAGAAATGGGGCATTACAAAATAGCAGAGGTACTTTGTGAGGAAGTAGGTGTTTCTCTTCTTTGTGTGTGTGTGTGTGTTTTAGAGGTCTGCCACCTGACCTGAGCCTGACAAAACATTAGCTTTCAAGCCAGGTTCAGGCAGATTTTTTCTGGGCTTCGGTTTGTTCTAATGAGTGATTTTTTTATGTAGTAGATTTGTTTTTATTTGAAGGACTATGCCTACGTGCACTCTCATGATGTTTTTTCTTGCGCTCTCTCTCTCTCTCTCTTTCTCACATGTACACTCTCACTTTATCTATCTCTTGCCCTCTCTCTCTCGTAACGTTGTACTCTACAGCTGCATTTAGTGTGGTGGGTAGAGTGGGTGAAGGTGCCCCTGAATGAAACCAGGGATGAGGTCCAGCAGTACATCAGTCACTGTGACACAATAGATGATGAGAGAGATGTGTTGGGTTGTTTGAGAAGTCACAGCGGATCTTTTCTCTTTCTTATTAAGCTTGTCCGAAATGTGTTAAGCATTTCTGAAAGTGGCAGTTGTAGTAAGAGGAACTTTAGCAAGGTGGATGCTATTCTTTGCCAGGTATGATTAGCAGTTCCAGAAAAATATACTGATAATAAACTGTTAGTACATTACAGTAAAATATCTGTTTATCCCAGCATGACATTGTCTGTTGTTGTATGTTGCCTGGCTGGGTCAGGTTTCAAAGTTGCGGGTACGGGTCAGGTTCGGGTTTCAAATTCAGCACTACTAATCGAGCCTGTTTGGACTGGATGATCAAGTCATGGCAGTACCAGTCGAGCCTGGCCGTGTTGGGGTTTCAAAGTCACGAGTACGGGTCAGATTTCAAATTTAGCACTACCAGTCGGGTCTGGTCTGGTCGGGTTTCAAAGTCATGTGTACGGGTTGGATTTCAAATTTAGCAGTATCAATTGGGCCTGGCCGGGTTGGGTTTCCAAGTCATGAGTACAGGTTGGATTTCAAATTCAGCAGTATCAGTTGAGCCTGGCCAGGTCGGGTTTCAAAGTCAGGGGTATAGGTTGGGTTTCAAATTTGTCAGTACCAGGCGGCCTGGCCAGGTCGGGTTTCAAAGTCATTGGCACAGGGTCGGATTTCAAATTTAGCAGCACCACTTAGGCCTGGCTGGTCAGTCGGGTTCGACCTTTAATTTCGTGACTGTGCAGATCTCTAGTGTATATGTGCTTACCTCTCTTCTCCAAAGGGTTGTTCGATTGTGATAAGCAGGGACACTGTCCTGGACATTTCACAGAAATCTGCTTCCCAGAGATACACGCCTGATACTCCAGTTTACACTGCAGCACACACACACGCACACACACACGCAGATTAGATCAGAACAGTACACTGGCGGTTAGAAATTAATCTTTCGCTTGAATACCTTCCTGGGAAATTACACACTGTAATCGCACAACCAGCACACAGACATATTATTTGATATTACTAGAATATTGCAATTTTGCCCGTATGCATGTATCACCTTGGTAGAGTAAGTGTGTCCGTCTGTTCCACAGACTGGTGATGGATGCACCACTGGACATCTCTTACACTTCAGCTGTGCTGGGTTCAGACCCATTCCCTTAGTGAAACTACAGAAAAACAGAGAGAGAAAGTGAGAAAGAGAGTGAGTCAGAGATGACTGCTGTTGACGTCTTAATGACACATACTGCGATGGCTACATTCAAAGACGACTTGACTTTGCCTACATGATCTTTCACCTCCCAGTCCTTTCTCTTTCATTTAATTTCATCCTTTATCTCATGTCCCAAATCTGCTCAGCCTCTTTTTCCATATCTCTGTTTGTATGAGTGAATGAGGAACACTGGCTCTGAGTCACCAGAAACAGCTCTCTCCAAAACAATTCTAAATGCAGACTACAATCTTAAAGTGACAGTTCATCCGAAATTCAAATTCACATTCAATTTTCCACTTATGCCAGATGTATTTGATTAGCCAAGACATGTTCGATGTCCAAATTCCACTTCTTTAGTTTCAAACTGGAAATACGGTGCTGCTGACAAACACTAGAAGACGATAGTCGCCCAAAAAATTTTCTGTAAATACATCGTCATTGAGGTTGCACAGACAATGTGGTTCAGGACACACTTTACTGTGACTTACTGTGAACTATAAAAATCAACAAAAGTTCACGGTGTAGTAGAACACATGTACAAGCCACTTTTTGTAGACAAGAGGTGTTATGCTGAATCCTGACTCCTCTGAAAAATCCAACTGCAGAATCCAGACTAGGTCTGGCCAATGGGGGATGTAATCGGATATTATCGCCTTTTACACATCATTGGATAATCCAATGATGTGTAAAAGGCGATAATTGACGTGTTGGGAAAAGAACTTTGAGAGAACTACAGAGAACCAATTTAACATTAAACAGCTTGTGAGCATGCTGGGAAATTTGGGTTCATTTTCCTTTAAGAAGTGTGTGGGTGCGCGCTCCAGTTCAGTTTTAGTCTTTACCTTTTCGCTGCAGTAAAACAACCAAGCTGAAGTAACTGAATATATTAGCCTAGAGCAGGTAGCTCTAACCAGGTGAAAAAGTTCTTCTGATTCATATAATCGATATATAAGTGATAATCACTTTTTTTAGCTAGACAATATTGTGATAATTATTTTTAGATATTGCCCAGGCGTAATATGGACACTAGATTATATTTACAATTTCTGTTGTTTCTATTAAAGGTAATCAATTATTCACAAAAGGAAACATAATCTGTAGCATCCATATGCCTACTCCATGGACAAGTCTGTACAACCTTAACGAAGACCTGGACGCTGTATGAGAGAAATTTTTGGGCATGTATTTACAGAAAAGATTTGGTTGTCTATTGACTTCTAGTGTTAGCAACACTCGCCTTGTAGCTCCAATGCTAAACAAAAGAAGCACCAAACATGTCTTGGCTGATTAACTACATCTCGGATAAGGGGAAAATTGTGTAAATTAGACTTCTGTCCAAACCATCGCTTTAAGCAACGCAGAAGATTAAATTTGCAAGCAGCTCCATGTTCTGCATGGAAGACTCTGCAAAACTGCCTGTACGAATATTAATTATGTAATCCAGCTTGGAGAATGTGAAAATGATACATTAGGTTCTTGAGGAAGGGTTTGTTTTGTTTTCTTCTACTTTTCTTTCCCTCTGTGTTACTCCCCTTAAAAAAACACAACGGCACTTAAACGGCAATTAAAAAGAAGTGGACGAGACAGCAGTTTTGCCTTCCTCTCTCTTTCTGCCCTCCCCTGCTCTTCTCCCATGCTTTTGTTTTATCAGATCATTAACAGACAATTCTTGTTGGGCTTTGCCGTTCTCACACTCAGCACGCGTCCTGTTTCCATTTTCATGGCAACAATCACTGTTGACAACTGTAGTTTAGGAAGAAAAACCAGGACAGAGTGTACCCTCATTTTCACCTCAGTCACTCACACACACAAACACACACACACACACACACACACTACACACTCACGTTGGCAGGAGTCGTTGCTCACTTAAATGCATGAATCAACTTGGGACATATGTGTTTATTCTATTCTTAAAGACAATTCTTTTAATTGCCTTAGAGCAACCTTCTCGCTCTGTCATTAACCAGTAAATGAGTGTGCTTGATTTTACTGCTGGTCCAGTGCGCTGGGGGTCCAGTAACTGGAGCATGGTGGAGCCAGGGGGTTGTTGGTTTGATCTCATGGGAACCAGGGGCATGTGAATTTAAACGTCTGCTGCCATTGTGCCTCTGAGCAAATCATCTAATCCCAATGCTGCTGAATTCACAAACTGTGTCTTTGGTCAACCCCAGCCACAGAGGGCTCAGATGATTAATGGCCGTTTTAAACATTGTTGCTATTAGAATATTCACATTCTACAATGCATAGTGTTTGAATATCCCAACAAGAAAATATTTTTAAGCTGTTATGAAAAAAAAAAATGAAAACAAGGTAGTTTTAATATTTAAAATAAATAAATTTAATATTTATTGTATGCATGCAGTACGCAAGGTGATCCATTTCTTATATAATCAATTTAGTGATTTATCTTTGTGTCTTTGGCATACCACCACTACTTGTGTTCTGATATTCAGTAAGAAAGCTTAATTAAAAATTACACATAATTTCTTCAATATTTTCTATTCTGAGCAAGCACTATTTAAATACCCAATGAAGCAAAAGGAAACAAAGATTAGTCGGTATTGAGGTTTGATCAATAAGAAATGTTTGTCACTATTTTGTACCAACTGTCAATACCAATTTTAAAGAGCCAAAAATACTGATAACACTGGTCAAAATAATATTATATGATCAAATACTAAAGATTAAAGTTATGGTTAAGCAATTCCTTACTGATGCTTCTGACAGTCAGCTGTAAACTGTGAATGGTAAAATATGTTGTCGGTTCTCAACTGTCACAGTTCCTAAACTCATATAAACAGCAGAAAGTCCTAAATAGTATAAACATTTTAGTGCTGGTAGTGGTTTTGTGTTAATTAGCTCTTATTTTTTTTTACATTTTTCATCAGTTCTCTTCACACAATGGTGTATAGTCATCCTCATGATTACGATCAGGTTTGGATGCTTAATATGGGCTTTTGTTACAATTCTTAGCAGTACTTTAGTTTTATAGCAGTGTGTTCATTACAATATTAAACAAACCACTAATGATTACTTATGTTTTATCTGCAGCATTTATTCTGATACCCACAAATATGTGACCTTCAACATTTTTCAACATTTCTGCTTAATTTCGTTGTTATAAAACTGATGAAGCGTGGTGTATTGTGAAGTATTACATCCTAAAAACATCAGAATCAACATTAATAGTGATGGGAGTCAGAAGTCTGAAGACTTTAATGCCTCTAGAAGTTGCCTGATGCCTGTTCTATGATAGTGTCCTAGGTCCATTCATGGTGGAGGTATGTGTGGCAAAATAGTACTCAAAGAAAACATATTTCATAAGTTCATATGGGTTTACAGGTTTCCCTACAATGAGCCATTTCACACCAAACCACTCTGAATGACTCTCAATGATTTAACTGAAAAAAATGCCCTTTAATATCAATTGGGTCCTAGTTTAGATAACCAATACAGTTGTATGCAAATGTTTGAACACCCCTAGTCAGTTTACGTTTTGTTGATTTTCTAAGTTACATATCCTCTACAGGGAACAACTTAAATATGGCATTCTGAACCCAAGTCATGGCACCACTGCTCTTGTCCCGTCCTTGTCTTTCTCTGTTTCCGGGCTTTGTTTCCCTGGTCCATGTGCTTTAGTTTACATAGGCCACTTGTTGTTGTTCTGGTCTTTGTGTGCTCTCCTGTCCTGCCTACTTGTCATCTGTCTCACCTGTCTGTTGTCTGTAGTCCCAGGTGTTTCTGGTTTGTTCCATGTGTATTTATACCCTTGGTTATGTGCTTTGTGTTTGATGTTTTGTGTTCTCAGGCCGTTTTTGTTTTCTCCCATATGTTTTCTAGTCCTCCTCATGTTCTTTAGTCTTGTTTCCTTTCTGTTGTAGTATTTTGTTAGCGTTCTTATTGTTTTGCTCTTTTGTGGATTCTTTTGTCATGGCTTTCAATAAACACAAGGACTTGTGTATGCATCCTGCTTCTTCGTCTCCCTCTACGCTACAGGTCTTCAAAGCAGTGGAGATGCAAGTGTGACATTTAAAAAAAACACCCTACCACAGTAATAGGAGTCACTTATTCTATTTTTTTCCTGTTAGAGAATGCTTACTTGGAGATTACTATGTTTTTTCTTCAGCTGATATCAGAAATAAAAAGCTGTTAGTTCGTCCACAGAGAGCAGGTGGAGCCACACTAATGTTTCTTTTAAGAACACATGCCGACACATGCCTCCCAACAGCAGCACATCTTTTCTCTCCCTCATTGCATTCAACTACGATAATGTATGCTAATCAGAGAAGGCTTGAGGTGCTACAGTGTTCTGCTGCATGCAATGTTTCACTGCACCAACTGATTCAATGTGTAACGTTCAGCGTCATCTCCCAACCCTAATGTGCTTTCGCAACGCGTTAAACCTGTAAAATTGCTCTGGTATTAATCAGCCCTCAGGAGTCTGAAGTGCCAGCTTGATGCAGACTACTTTTTGATATGAGCAGTGACCGATTTCATTTCTCATTATGCAAGACCACGTTGAAGTTTCAAGCTGTTTTTTGTCCTTTGCATGGCTTTTGAACTTGAATCGTAAGTTCATACACAGAGACAGATGCAAGCATTCAAGCTATGTAAGTCAAAGCTAATCAAATTACTAGGAATACATATTTGCATGAGTTATTAAAATATTAGACATACATTTCAGCATGAAAATGACAGTTTCCTTTTATGTTATCTACTGAAATACTAGGCTTTAGATCATCATGTAGCAGCGATTATTCCACAATGAATGAAAAGTATTACACTAACTTGCACAGGGACACTGACAGGTTTCAGTTAAACCAAGCTGAAGGACAAACACGTAGGTGGCAAAAGTCTCCTCTCTGTCTGACATCAAGAAATTACATTAAAACCCCAATTCTGGGATTGCTAAACAGGACTACAGTCATTCCAGCTTGAGTTTATTAACATAAAAGCATCACCACATTAGTGCTTGTATTATTGTGTTATTGCCAACCCAAAAGCTGCCCTGACAGTTCTGATAAGGGTTTTAAAGATGCAATATGACAAAAAAAACAGAAGTGATGACTTGCTCTTGGAGTTTGAAGTACTATTCATATGACAGCATTTTACACAGTAAAGTGGGGTAATATAATTACTATGATTAAAGTCCTGTCCGAATGCACCAAGATTCTGGCGGCTTTTACCTTCTATAAAACAAACTGTAGAAATAACTCCAGGTTATACTGAATATGTGTTAATTGCTATATTCCATCATATCCTGTGGAAAAGGAGGTTCTGTATTTTTTTTCTTAATTAAGGAAGCGCTTGAAGAAGCATATACTCTAAATCCCATGAGTCAAACACAAGGCCCGTGGGCCAAGTCAAGCCCGTGATACAGTCCTATTCGGCCCGTGAAATTATTTTAATTTTCTATTCTTATTAGCCCATTTCACCCTGAGATGCACTACAGTCCCCAGCATGCACTGCAACATTGTGTGCGTTCTGACCTCCTTCCCCCAGCAGCAATCTATGGGCCAGCAGTTACACAAAAAGAACAGTTGCCTGATGTCTAGTGCAAGCAAATAGGGAGTTTTTTAAAAAAAAATACCTAAAACAACTTATTTTATTTAGTATTATTTTCGTATACGTATTCAATGCCTATTTTGCTGTTGCAGTTTTGGCATATTTTGATTAAAAAATGGCAAAACGCTGAGTAAAAATGAAATAAAAACACAGCTGGCCCATGGATTTGCTGAGATTTTTAATATGGCCTTTTTAGTGGTTGAGTTTGACACCCCTGCTCTAAATATTCTCTGTAGCCCAAATTCAAGCCAAAATGCATTGCCTCCATCAAGTTTACAACTCTGAACATTAAAACATGTAAAATGACAAAAAAATAAGGTTCAGTTATTTGTGGCAATGTTGACTGCTGGCTGTAAATTCCCAAGCCAATGGCAATTTTTATGGCACATTGCAAACAGTGACAACAGCTAGGTAGATGGTTAGGGTATAAAGAAATATGATTAAACTTAGGACATGTTTTCAGCTGAATGTACTGTTTATGGTATACAAATCATGTAGCCACTCTCATCTGTAGCTGTTGTTATTCTGTGCAAACCAGTCACAAACATTACAGACATCCTTTGGAAAAATTACATTATCCAGCCTCTGCATGCAAAACTAATCCCATCTGGACAGAACTCAAGAATGTTGATAATACAACAATCTACCAGGATTTGCCAAGCTTGGCTACTTTTGTAATATATACATAAAAACATTATACATTTCTACAGAGGTCATGCCTTCATTGCAGAAACAAGGTCTATAGCAGCAAATATTGTCAAAAGTTGTAAATAATGATTTAATGTATTTTTTTAATCAGTACAGACAAATATAAGCACTACATGAAGAACATCTGAATACTCTGAATAACCCTAAAACATACAATACGAACATTTGGCATATTTTCTGATGTGAACTAAGAGCTAATCCTAGGGCTAATCTGCTGAAATCATTAGCTGGGGCTTTAAGCATTAAAACTACAGAAGATAACAGAATGGTCTGAAATAGTACAGTGAACATTTTACCTCATCCTGCGCTGGCTAACACAGGTGGGTGTTTTGTAGTCTTCAGCCACACATTGCTTGTGTCGGCCACATTTTATCTTCAAGCATGGGATCTTTGGCAGGATCCAGAGCTAACATACACACACACCCACGTATCACAAACACACACATAAAGAGAGAAAGGAAAAGAGACAATCAAATTTATTATAAAGTGCATTAACTCATTGTTTTGCTAAAAATGATCTTTTTTTAATTGCTAGACAAACTGCTTTCAGACTTTCTATACTTATGCAAGACCGGGGCGCCAGCTGTGCCCCAGTTAATTTACAAATATGCATGCAAAGTAAAGGTAAAAGACATTTTAAACATAGGCATAAAGTGTCTATTACAACAACCTATGTGCATGTTTCAGATAAATAACTTAAATCATCACCACTTAGAAAACAGTAGTTATGTCTGTCCAAGCCTCCTATTTTAAGATAAAGTGACTACACTTAACCTTGAAATATAATCATTAAATCAAAAATATTTTTTGCATTAATGTGTGAATTCATTTAATGTCTCATATTTGAAACATCTTTTTTTCTTGTCATCAAATAGATGTTATGAATAATGTCCATTTTAGTTGAGTTCCACTACATTCCCCCTATGAAGCTGTTAGAATATTCCACAGATCACATGTTCAACAGGAAGCTGTTTTTGGAGATCACAGGAAGATGAAAAGTAAATGTCAATGATATTGTGATCATGACTGACAAAGTCAGTTTGAAGGTACAACACTGTTATCCAATTTATAGTACATTTATAAGAAAAATAAATCACTATTAAAAATTACATTTTTAGCAGATCAGATCATTAGCATGTCTTTAGTGTCCTCATTGAGGCTAGTTAACCACATTTTTTGTATGTGATAATTCTATGCTAAAAACCTTGTTACTTTCAACCTAGGTACTCATTTATGCCACTGTCAGGCTTGTAATGAATGGAATGAACCACAAGAAAGAATAATCGAGCAGGAACTGTGATCAGCCCTGGGATGTGTGTGTGTGTGTGTGTGTGGGGGTGCTTATAAATAAACATTCTATTTCTGATGTGTCTTTACGTGGGCAACGTAAAGCTATACAGTGAGGGGAGCAAGAGATAGCCTCTAATGCCATTAACTCCCTTTATAACCCTAAGAGGCTAACACACACACACATTATCGCAGTTATACACTCTCCACACACACACACACACACACACACATACACACAAACACACACACACACACACACACACACACACACACATACACAACACACATCCACACTTAGAATGGTCTCTGACCTCACACTGTAAGAGCCTTAGCAAAATCCAGCACAGGCTTCAGCAGCTTATCCAAACCTGATCTCCTCAGCACTCTCTAATTCTATTGTTCTAGTGTGGGTGTGTGTGTGTGTATGTGTGTGTGCGTTTGTAACAGTGCCTAAATGTGAGCGTGATCAGTGCATTAGTTCATCTATTGTCACAGACAGTGAGACACTAATAACCCTGGACTAATACTTGAATTCAGAGAACAAGACAAGTGAAGTCAAGCAGAGCCCTAAAACAATGCTGCTGGAAGAGCCCAGTGAACCTTATGCTTGTACAGCTAAATCAAACTAAATAATATTGATTCTACAGGAAGAAAGGTACTGTTAAGCTCTTGAACCTTTGGCACAACATTTAATCCTTGCAGAAAATCTGCACAAAGAGGAAAAGAGAAAGTGATAACATGATCTGTAGTACAGAGCTTTGGATGCTAACATAGTTGTTTCTGATCAAAAACTGAAAGTACTAATTAGCTTAAGATCACTCTACCCAGCACTAGGCCTGTCACAATTATTACATAATCACCTTATTACAAGTATTTGTGCTGTTCACAATTATTTTGTGCAGTTGTTGTTGTTCAAAATTGTATCTTTACATCGCAACAAACATTGCAAAAAATGTGAATACATGTTCATCAGCTGGGGTCAAATACACGGGCATAAAATAAAGCAGGAAGCACATTTATTGCGACACATTATTGGTCTTAAGAACAACAAAATTTCTAACTTCTGACTTGGTGCTATAACATTTTTAGAGAGCAGCAGTGAGTATTGTTTGTTTATTTAAGCTTGAGCTGTGTCTGTCATCAGATGGAGAAAAAAAGGATATTAACAATTATAAAACGGATAGTTCCGGATTAAACCTGATTGGCTGAGCCGCGTTCGAAGCCTTTGTAGAATCCACGATATACCACGGCTATGACAACTGAACTCTGTATTACTGCGCCATGGCACGAATAACCCTTCTGTGGTTAATGGATTAATCTTTGACTCTAATGCTGATTGCACAGAGCACCGAGTGTACTGATGAAGTAAGAACCTGTTTTTAGTTTACTAGAACAAGGCTGGTCAGCTAGCCAACAGGCTAAAAGATAGCAAACATGCTAAAGAACTCCAACATTAATATCACAGGCTTGAATTAAAGTACTCACAATATGATTCACTGAAAAACAGCAATATAAAAATCTAAAGAATGTCACCTGAATGGCTTACACGCTTCAAATGTCCGTGTTTCAGACAGAAGTAGCATCAAACCCAGGCTGAATCCCAAACAGCTCCGTACTCCCTAGCTAAATAGTGTGCTGTGTAACATTAAGTTTAGAAATTCTAGTTACTGTTTTCAAAAAGGGGACTGCTTGTTGAGTATGAATGTGGATGAATCCCAAATGACAATTTTTAGCTATATTTTTCATTGTTGGGTGCAGGAGTCAATATTTAAATTCCTACCTAGTGCACTAACCAATGTAGGGAGCAGGGAGCCATTTGAGATTCAGCCCCAGCATGAGAAAATTGGTGTCGTCAGACTGACAGAAGAAGACTTGTGGTGGTAATTTGGTGCAAAAGTATTTAAGAACTGAAAATATTTGCATTAAACAGTGCTATGTTGCATATGTTCACTGTTATACGAAAAAAGTTAAAAAAATCATGAAACGTCTGCAGTTTACAGTGATTGGCAACCGAACGTTCTTCTCCTCATTCAGCGGTCAATTGTTGCTTAGCAACAGTAACATGCTCTAAAGGAACTACATTTCTTGGTGGAATACTTGTTTATGTTGATTATTATTAATAATAACTTAAAGAATTATCTAAAACATTGTGTATTTTAATATATTTTATGTTGGCCACCATTTTATAAAAGCAATAAGCCACTCAAGGCTGTGTGTTACTGCGATTTTATCACAGGGAAGAGAGTTTTAGAAAGAACAAAGAACACCCATCCCCTTGATAAAATCGCAGTAACCCACGGCCTCCTGTGGCTTATTGCTTTATTAATCACTAATCGACAAATACATACATGTTCGACTAGTGCTATTTAAAAACTTAATCTAATTTCTGATAAACAATTGATTTTTGAATAGGTCAATATTTAACTGAACTTGAGTACTTCTACGCATGAGGGCACAAGAGTGTAACTTGTTCTGGTAGCCCTACTTAATGATGCACAACCCAAGGTTTTTTGACTCATATCTGTTATGTTAGGTTGCATTTTCCATTCAATAAAGCCTAAAGTCTTGTTTATGTAAAAAGCAGTGATGTGTTTGTTTTCATGGCTCATCTCTGTGGTTTTGTTTGTAAATGAAAAAGATAACAAAAGATTTTGCCAAAACTCGCAACTCTAGTTGGGAGCTTGCAATGCATAAATTCAGTAACAATTCTTTATCTAACAATTCAGTGTACTATGAAACTTCATTTTGATACCGTTGTGGAATCAACAATTTAACAATTAAAAGAACATCAAACTTTACTTTTTACATTCGAAAATAGCCTGAGCTAAAAAATGTGCGCACACTGTATTTGTATGTAATTCTAATCGATTTCAACTAATTCCAACATTCCAAACCAATGCGGTTGATGCATCGAGGCATGTTATCATGTTTAGTCAAAGGCTCATGCTGATAAAAGCCATTGCTGATGCCCACTTCACGAGACCGTCGGACTGCACACTGCCCTGGGAGGTGTAACTATTGCCAACCGCCCCAGGAGGAGTCCGTAAACTCAAGGCCACACACACATATGGCAGGGCATAAAATGTGAGTGGGAATTTTGCCTACTTCAGCTTTGCCCTTCCAAGAATCTCATGGTCAAAGTAATTTTAACTTTAGTCATACAGTCATATATATTTGAATGGTAATCTAAGCTGCATTATTTCAATAATTATATAAATTATGCTCTTAAATACATATGAATTCCAGTTTAATCATGATAATTGCTTTTACAACGTACCTTGATCAAAAGGCTTCCCAGGGTTCCACGATCCAGGCTCCTGCAACATTAATAATATTGATCAAAACTACAAAACAATAAAACATCAATCCGTATTAGTAAATGTTTGATTGTTTAAAAGTAAAGATGCTGTTATTTCCTTGACCTTTCTGAAGAAAATAATTTCACATGTTCATACAAACCTCTACTTCCTAATTGCAGAGGAAGCATTAGAGAGAAAGCAAATAAATAACACCATTAGTGGGATGCGCACATAAATGCACACACACAGTGAATAACAACATGTGCAATATTACAACCAGTCATATAAAACCTGCATACTCTATATGAGCATGCAACATACACGTTTATGCTTGTCAGTATGTAGTGTCATTATGAGGAGACTGTATCTGATTTGCTGTCAGGTTTGTTAATTAGCTTATGCTTGAGAGCATTCTTAATTGATTCCGACAGTTGTTAGTCCTCCCTCTAGTCAATGCAGCCCTAAAGACTGACATTTCTGATAGCTCCATATGGCATTACACACACACACACACACACACATACACACATACACACAATCAGATTGCAGGATATTAATATAAAATGGCTGACTGGTCAGTTGACTGACTGGCCCTCCGGCAGTTTTAAACATTATATACCTGCCTTTCTGTTTATGTGTGTGTGTGTTTGTTTGTGAGTGTCAGTGCCAGTCTTTAGTGAGAGACACCACATGAAATCTATTACCATCTCCATGTGGGTCTACTTAATACCTTTCCAGTGCACAAACACCACCACCCCCTCATTTGGCAGAGTTATAATTTATACTGTATGCTTCCTGATCAGAAAGAGCATTGTGCTGCATTGTTTATTGAGTTATCAGTCAGGTCATTTACATTGGTGGATTCTCTTTTGTTTGATTTTCTGCAGCTCACCTAGCTCAACATGCTTGTAACTGATTTTTGTGATTGGTGTTTGACTCATAGTATTTTGCTTAATATTAGGAAAGATGTTTTGCAAGGGACTGAATGTGAACCACTCTTGTTTTCCCTGTATGGTAACATCTCTGGTAAAAGGCTGAATTGTAAAACACAATTATATGTACTGAAGATGCTTTCACTGACCTTCAGAAGTCATTTAAAGGAGAACTGCAGAATCTCTGCAGAATTCAAAGTCATTCAGAGTGTGAAATGGTGCCTTATTCACTCTGATTTCTTTACAGTGGAGATGACAGAAACTAGAGGTTGTGATTGCTACATGTGCGCTCTGAGTTTTTAGATGTATTGTTGATCATGGTAAAATAGTGGTAAATCTGAAAAAATAAGTTTTGTTTGAAAGCTACTTTGCCTTACAACATCCTATATATACCACTCCACAATAAATGTGTTTTAAATACATGTTTTAGGCCAAAACCTTATCATAATACTTTCATAAAACAGTGTGTTAGACAACAGGTAGTGTATTTGTAACCATATCATGTAACAATCTTCTGAGATGTAGCTTTTAGAGGCATTAAACACTTCAGACATCTGGTTCCTATCAGCACCACTGTGGACAATTCTGATTCAAGAAGAAATTCTGATACGAGAAGTTTTTCGTACTCCGAATTACTTTGTTTACATCTTAACCATTTAATTATTAAAGAATTTTCTGGGAATTTTGGAATTCCCATTTAAAGCCCTCAAATTACTAATAAATGTGAATAAAAGCAGATTTGTGTTGCTTTCATTGGCCTTTGGAATTATTTACTGTTGTAGGCTAAATGTAACCTAGAGAACTAGATGTAACCATTAAGTAGTTATTGTAAATTTACAATGATTACATTAAATGGAAAAAAATAAAGTTCAGATTAGGTCTTGCATACAGGAACAATGAATGATTTGCCTTCATTTGTGCTGGATTATTAGATCATTTACATGAATGCTGTTGATGCATTGTAGTGATTGAATCTGGCCTATTAGAGTGCGCTTCATTTTTCATTTCAGGATGTGTTGCACATCTTTCGTTGTATGAAGGCAGCAGCACTAACCATAATTCATCTATACATCTCCCTCACATATTTGCTAAGCAACAGCAAGGAATGTGGGCTATACCATGCAATCATGTGAAAATGGTTTACTTGAAACTCCACTGTTGCCACTGGTTTTAGTAAGAAAGTAAATACCGTTGTTGTGGAAGTAATTTCATGGATTTGTGTTCTTTTCCTATGCATTGGCTTTAATTATTATGTAGTTTTTAAAGTTAGTTTTAAGTTTTGCACACCTGTTTTAGATGTTTGATTTTTAACTGTTGTTTATTTAGAAGTTGGTTTTAAATATTGAGTTGATTTTAAAGTGTTAATGGTTTTAAATTGTTTCAAGTTAGTTGCATTTATTATACTGTCCTCTGTTCAATGCTTATGAAAGCTGCTATGAATGTTACACTGTTCTCACTTAGCTAACTGTTCAGTTATCTTTTCAGCCTGAGCTGACACAAAACCACCTTAAACTCACTGAAAAATATAAAGGTATAAACTGATCCAAGCTAAGCACTCACTCTCGAGAACAGTGGTAAACATTTATTTTACCACAATGACTCAATAAATAAATAAATTAATCAATATATGAATGAATAAACAACATCTGCAACAGTTTCTCGAGTGAACAGGGTCCCTTAGTGTTTAGTTGCTGCGGACTTGCTTGCCAGCGTTTGCCGTGGTGCCCCAGATCACCGTGTGTTTGGTTTCTCTCTCCCACTGAGTCTGAAGCGTGCCCAGATTTCAATACTAGCTCATCTGTGCTATAACAACACAAGCCCCAGGCTCTGCAGCCAGCCAACAGACTCTCATAGGAAACACATGCTCTCCCACTTTCTTTATTCCTTTCTGTCTTTCCTCCATTCTTTCTATATTTCTCCATAAGCTTTGACCATCAGAGATCCCTTAGAAGTTATTACCACCATTTGGCTACACTGTTCGACTATAATTATGTAATGAAATCATTAATTCCTTAGTTGTGTACTGAATTTCATTTACACTGTATTTATATTCTCTTTCAACAGGTTCAAATGTTTTTTTTTTTCATTTTTCATCAATAAATGAGAAAAATGTGGCAAAAATATAAAGCATGTTTTCTTCTTCTGCAAAATAAGACTATACGCACAACAATAACTCTTCAGCAAATTTAAATCATAATAAAACATGTCCTCGTCTAATTACAAACACAATGTGGTGCTGATGGAAAGTTTAGATTCCACACTTTTTCTACAGGTTTTCAAGTGAGATACAAGTGAGAAATAATTACTATCAAACAAACATTTGTTTTGCCAGCAATAACTGCAAATTCTATGGATTAAATACTTTAAGTAGAAGCCCGTAACATACAGAATAACCTGCCTCTAAAAGCAAATGTTTCGAACGTACCATACATACGTGAAGTTAACTGTAACAAACTGAGAAGCTTTCGTCAAGTAAAATTCTATGTAGTCTGAACCAGACAGCATTACCAACCTAAATACATAAAAATATAGGCATCATTTTGGACAAAAAAATGTTTTGAGCTTATAAAAAGGGGGAAATCTGCTAAAGCTTTCTGTTAAATCTGTCACTTTTAAAAACTACTGTATTTTAATTTGGCTAAACCATGCTGCCAGTTGGTTACATGCTTCAAAACGATGCTATATCACAGGCACCAAGTTGGTGATTAAAATAAAGTGTTAATTCTGTGATTTATACAAACAGCTACTATAAAAAAACACAATGAAAAATAACTTTCGTGGTACATAAACAATGAATCTGGAGAACTATCTATTAGATTGCTATTGTCTGAAAATGTTACATGTTACTTTGTGACCTGCGTTTGCCTACTGTTTACTGTTTTACTGCATTTAATGAATGATTATACCCTGGGTGATTTAACGGCAGGTTACAGCAGGGAAGTCATGCAGTGGACAGAGTGTCTAAATGCAGCCTCCCAGCCTCAGCACTGCTCCAACTGACTATAAAAATATGACTAGGGCCTATAACCTTGAAGTGTACTCACTGCGTGAGAGAGAGAGAACTGTACTTACTGCATGAGACAGACAGAGAGAGAGAGAGAGAAATGAAAGGATGAATTGCTTTGTCCTATCCTGCATTGCCCACAGGATTCTAAATCCTAATGGAACAGAGCTCACACACACACACACACACACACACACACACACACACACACACACACACACCCCTTCAGATTATCACAGTCTGAGCAATGTAAATTATGTCTGCATCGAGTTTGCTGTAATCACTTTAATGATTCTCACACATGAGCGCATATAATATGAAAGTGATAAAACCGTGAATGAAAAATTACCTGAGAGATTTAAAGTATCAGTGAATTATTACCTAAAATATAACCCACGCTCGTCAACAGTTCGTCAACGCTCATCAACAGTTCAATAGATAGCAGTATTTCAAAAACAGCTTAATAAAATCATGTCAAATAATCACCACATGGACAGACAGAAGGACAGACTATTGTTTGTGTATGTGTGTGCGCTTTGTGAGGGTTTTGTGAGCAGACTGCATGACAGCCAGGGGGGCTGCTCTCTCAGGCAGAAAGTGCCAGAAGCATCTTACCTTCCCCATATCATTCATTCTTTATGACACACACACACACACACACACACACTCGCTGCTTTTCTCCACAGAAAAACTTCACTTTAATCCTTCAAGTCACACACACACACACACACACACATAAACAGAGCTACAAATAATTTATAATGGAGATTAGATCACTTTATACGGTTGACCGATATAGTGCAAGCATAAAGTAAACATGGTGCAGACTTCTTAACTTTAAAGGTCTCTGCGTGTGATATAAGGAATATTCTGTAATATATTATGGCATATATTTTTGTGATTTACCTGAAGTAGACCTATATTACTCTTCTGTATTTCAATACAGTTCCAAATGTAAAACAAATAAGTATAAAACAAATAACACCTTCATTAAGTCTTTCTGTGATGTGTTTTATCATTTACTGCTCTGTGAAGAAAAGATCTTATTCTGGGCGTTGATTTTCTGTGTTAACCACTGATCTCTATGGCTGTCTCAGTGGAGAATGTGGGGCAAGATGTGTAGCCATCGTGCAGTGGTGGAGAGCTCAACAATGGCTGCAGCAGAGCACTTTATAATAGGAATGCACAGATGCCACTTCTTCCCTTTTAACACTGATATTGGATCTTTAACTA